AGGGTTACTAATTTTAAACTTATAACCACATTAAAGAACATTTTCTCTCACCTCTCGAACTCCCCCAGGCCGACGCCATCTTGAAATTTTGTTGTTTTCTTCGAATATCCACTGGTCACTAACTGCTGGCTCATTATATTATTCAAAACATCGTCCCTTCCCTCCCCTATTTAGTAGAATTCTACCTTCATTTTTTTGCTCTCCATAGTACTTATGAAATAAAGAGAAACATTTGGGGTAAAATCAGTATTTTAAGAAAACAGTAGCGCTTCATTTTTAGATATTTTTTTCCTATAGATATCTTTGTTATTTATTTCGTCTGGTCGAGAGTCAATAATGCACAGCCCCTCCCCGGTAAGGAACTCCGTTTAACAATTTCCAAGATGGCGGACGAATTGTGTCCAATGAAGGGGAAACTATTTTGACATGTTGTTGTTTTGCTGTTACCCACAAAGGTGTTATCGCGTCTTTGTCGTAATGATATAGAGTTTGAAGCTGATTGAACTTCGTAAGAAGAGAAAAAATGCGATATTTGGTGGGACATTTTTAAAATTGTGACAGTGAAATCTTTATTACAAGCTGACATAAGTTTTATCTTCTTTTGATGTGGTTCAGGGGAAGTCCAAGCAGTGTCTTCTTATTTTATTGACACATGAGGAGGATTAATCGTTTAATTTTAATATTTCTTCGTAAAAACAGATGTAAAATTACAAGATCGATATTCAGTTAACTAAAGGAATGTCTACAACAACACATAACAAGTCACAGTCGAATTCACAGACCTGCGACCTACCACAAGAAGTTATTTCATATATATTCAGGTTTCTGGAACCCGTTGATATCAGATCAGCATCTCTAGTTTGCCATTTATGGGCAAAAGCATCAGAAGACCCGTTACTATGGAAACATACTGTGTTCGTCCTATTTACAAAATCTGAAGCATTCTCAGACTACCTGCTTGATAGTCTCAAGCGACGACGAGTCCAACATGTCCAAATGAGGCATACAGTTACATTGCCACAGGTAGTGCAAGTTTGTAAACGATTAGCGGAAAACTTGAGTACCTTGTCACTCCAAGGGTGYCGTTGTGTCAATGAYGCACTAATAGAGTTAGTACTAAAATGTTGTACTCATTTAACTGCTATCAATCTCGGAAGATGTCGACAATTAGATGTAAGTAAAAAGACCCTCTGGTTTGAAAGATGCAATGGCAGTCTTAAAAGCGTGACAGTTCTTGATATCAGCTGCTGCAAAGGACTAAGCGATTGGACGYTATCTCAAATCCCTGTGTATTTAACCCTCCTTGAAAGTCTTAGCATCTCGGGATGCAAGGAGGTCTCTTTACRCACTTGGACTAACCTTGCAGCAAGGCTTACTTCACTTAGAAATTTAGATATAAGCCGTTCTGATATATCTGATGATATTCTACTTCAGTTTTCACAAGTTCCATCCCTTAATCTCAAGTCTATAAACTTGTCAGCTTGTAAACAACTCACAGACAATGGTGTTGTATCATTGGTTAAAAACCAAACAGGGCTGCAGAACTTAAAGCTGTCTTGTTTAGATATAACAAACACTAGTGTGCTTGCCATAGGGAAATACTTGGTTGAATTAAAGTCCTTGGATTTAAACAGCTGTCGGCAGATTACAGACTATGCACTAATGAGCAGTAGGGCACTCCTAAGAACACTTCAATTGATTAATTTGTATTCGTGTTATCAACTGACAAGCAAAGGGTTGCAGAACTTCTTCTCCATGCCCAAGGTGATTATAGCATAGTTTTATTTGTGTTCCTTTCGCCTCCCTCAGTTTTCTGCCGTTGCATCCGTGCCCCCCAACATGGCAATCTACAGTATCCTAACCCTTTGGAATCCTAAGGGAAAACTATTTCAACAAAAAAAAACAGTAATATTTTTGGTGATTAAAGATGGCATTTGTTAAATGCATATGTAATAGCTGTCTTTCACACAAATTGACAAGTCAACATGTTTTAAAGGAATATTAATATTTTGTCTGTCTTTTATGTTTTTGTTAATTAAGGATGGAGTTTCGGATGCTTTGTCATTTCCTCTGGAGACATTGATTTTGAATGGCTGTAGCCTAGCAACCGATGCTATGATTAAAAAGTGCTGTCAAGTGTTAATTAATCTCCAAGAGCTGGACATWAGCTCCTGTCTCCACATTACAGACACAGGACTTCAATCAATAACAAATTCCTTAACAGGACTGAAAGTCTTGAAGATAAGTTGGTGTGCAAACATTACTGATGCTGGTCTGCTGGGAATGTCAGATAGCAGTAACCTTGGTGATGGTCACCATGGAAACAGTGAYGATGGTAAAAGTTTCCATGGCAACAGTAACCATGGCAACAGTAGCCATKACAACAGTAAYCATGACAACAGTAACCATGACAACAGTAACCCAGCTAACAGTTACCATGGATTTAACAGTGTAACTGGTATAGCAAGGCTGGCTAATCTTACATTGCTTGATGTTAGTCATTGCACCAGTATTACAGATGATGGCATGGCGAGTGTTTACACTCTTAAAAATCTTAAATCATTGAACTTGAATATGTGTATGGAGGTAGGTCATATATAAACAAGCACTATAATCATTATTAACATTAATGATTGATTAATTGACAAACACTTGACAAACTCCAAATAATTTCATTATAATAATCTTTACAGTTTTTAAGCTGTCTTTATGGTTAGTACATGTGCCTGTGCCCTAGTCTTCCTCTCTCCCCCCTTCCCATGATGCAAAGCAATGGCTGCCTCAAAATCCATTAAAATTACAAAATATTGCCATTGAAAGAAATGACTTATTGACACTAGTGAAGTCCCTAGTTTTTGTTAGCATATTAAATTTATTATTATACAATATTATCAATATTTTTAGATTACTGATGTCACTCTTGTAAGGATTGCAAATCACATGACCATGCTACAGTCCCTATCCTTAAATGGATGCAATCTTATTACTGATACTGGACTTGTTGCCRTRGCAAAAAGCCTTAACCATCTACACAACTTGGATGTTTCGAAATGCGATCACATCACTGATCTCTCTATTTATACCCTTGCAAARTATGCAAAAAAMTTGGTGCATCTAGATCTTAGTATGTGCTGCCAGATCACGAGTTATTGTATTGATGAACTAGAAGCCAATGTCCCAGGGCTGGTTTCTCTGCAATTAATGTATTCAGGGGCTAATGCAAAGTATTTATGAGATGTCTAATCATAGTGGGGGGAGGGGGAGGGGGCTGAAGAAGGTTGAATTATAGGCCAAATTTCATTGGTGCAACTTGTGTCGACAACTTGGTACATCTAGAGTAAGAAAACGACATTTGCATCATATGCAAATTTGCATCATTATGTTTTTGATAACATATTCAGTTTCACAGCTACATTTCTACGAAATTATTAAAAAAAGATCATTTTGTAAAGTAATGCCTTATCTGTCGCCCATGTCCCAGAAACTAATTATTTTTTTATGCACGAGCATAATAAGATTGAGATTCGTATTTCCAAGAAATAGGGGTAAAAATTCCAATAGGCATCCAATAGTCAATGTACAGCGGCAAAGCATTGATGGCAGATGCAGTTTTTGTACTTTTTATCAGCCTGTTGAAGTAGTCCCTAGAAGTTGTCTTTTTCTTTGCTTTTAAGAAAACGCGAAATAGCTTTAATGGAACTCACATTTTCCTCTTGTCCCTATTTTAGTCGCAATAATTTTGACTTTTGCGTGGCTTCAAGTTAGTATAATTTGTGGTAATGCGGGAGCAATCTATTTCTTCATGGTCACTGGAGCTGGATTGTCAAACAAAATTAAAACTAAAGAAAGCTTAAAGCTATTAAAGCATTTAGTTCCAATGTTTTTGAAAGTTTGRTTTCCTTAATTTGACAAATTGTACTTAGTACACAAATTATTAAATAAATAAAAGAAAGTAGTTAATAGATTTAATCGTGGGAAACTTACTGAAACAATGAAGATATTTTTATGTAATGTTAGGTGAAAATATCTAGACAAGCCTGACCAGCACGTCTTCGGGAAGGTAGTAGGTTCATTGCGCGTTCATTGCCGAGATGAACGAGAGAAGGAGAGGGGTATWTCCCCCCTCCCTACCCAGCCAATAGAACTTACAGATATTTTTCGTATCGGAGTGCACGCCATACATCCGCTGCAGTACTAAAACGTACGTTTCATATCGTGAGATTAGCCTTTTCGTCAGTATCTACTAACTGATCAACACACACAAAAACACGAGTGGCCGGGTAACAACCACTACATTTGTACGTGTTTCAACCGGACCAAGGAAAAATTAAGAACCATTCCTTCCTTGAATCACAGCAACTTTTACAGTACACGGATTTACGGCGTGAWCTCTAACAAATACATGTCAGATAACGTTTGCTGTGGCGAATCTAGTGGGTTCAGGGGGTGGGCACACCCCCTGTGACGTTACAACATTTAATAAGCTTTCTCTTATATTTTGTGCGTCCGTTAAGCTTTGGGAATCGGGACCTTTTCGGTGCGGAACCCATCCTGGGTTGACTTGCACTCCTCCTTGAAGACTGTCCTTGATATATCCCTGATATGCCCTGAGTTATGTTCCTTAGCTGCAGCCATCTCTTTTTTGGTGGTATTTTGACGTCGCCTTATGTTATACTGCTCAAAGCAAGGTAAATGACAGTCATGCAGTCTTTTATAAATTGAAAKGAAAAAAMCWTTTCTTTTTTTTTTTTTTTTTTGAAACTTGGAGCGTTTCGAAGGCTTGTGCGGGTAGTCCATACGTTGTTTCAGCTCCCGACGTTGCACTGTGACTTCGACTTAGATAAACATGCCCAGTGGATAATGACCAGACTCGTACCCAGTCGTTACTTACGCTCGAAGAGGTTGATGGGAAGGCGGGCGCTTTCCCTTCGCCCTTCCCTTGATGCATTGCGCGTCTCTGAAAAAAGCCGGAGAAGCGACTGGGTACGAGTCTGGATAATGACTATGCACCCATAACACATGCGCTTGAATTTTGCAATTCTATCATATTTAGAAATTATCTTCTTTTTATAGTTTTCTCTTGCCAGCATTCCAGCTAGAAGTTTGAGGTGTGAATTCCTATACTGATAGTTATAGATGGAAGATATGGTGATTTCTTTTAGACTTCTTTTGTTGGCCAGTCTTTGTAACGGTACCAACCTTGTTCTGGGTTGACATCAGCAGGAGCTGCTGTTAAATGGATGTTGTTTTGGTTTTGATTCTGGAGATGATCACCTAATGGAAACGAAATAATAATAATATGTGGTATTTATATAGCGCCGATATCCTCTGAGTTAACAGGCGCTTCACATGTATAGATCATGTCACACGGACTGCTGTTTAAAGCGCAATTGGCAGCCACGCGGCTTACAACCATGAGGGGTTAGTAATTAGTATGGGTTAGTAGTAAGGCCTAGCCACACACACCGGGAATCGTTCCCTACTCTTATGCGAACAGTGGTGTGGGTTCTTTAACGTCCCTCTAATACAGGTTAGTGAGATACAGTTAACTCTCTTTGAACGACCACTCTAGTAAACTACCATCTCCCGTAAGCGACCACCTTTTAATTTCCCGTTTTGTTCAGTTTCCCATATAAACGCTGTAAAAAAACTTTCTCGTAAAAGACCACTTTTTCCTTATCCCGAGGTGGTCGCTTATGAGAGAGTTGACTTTATATCAAGGGTTACAGTTTGATAGTTTTGGGTAGCATGTCCTGTTATTGACCCACTTTTGATGTCATAATTGTCATAAAATTACTGCAAAATCTTAAACATTTAATGACATCAAGAATGTTCCAGAGAAGCGGAGGTATTGCAAGTCAAAAGACCCGTTCAATACATTGTTTGTTTAATAAACTTTTCTTAAATATGCGAAAAATTGTTCTTCATCAGTCAACGTGATGTTTCTCATGCAAAACCAGATTTAATCAGCACCGAGAGTTGAATGTCTGTCCGGTCCTGTACTCTACAAGAGCCGCCGGCAGCTAAGTCCAGGGGGAATGTATACATCATTAAATAATCGCAACCAACCACCGTTCCTTGCGAGCCCGAGCGCCATTTTAGGTAGAAACGAAAATGGCGGGATCGTAGCATTTCAGTTTGGACAGAAATATCTTTAAGCACTTCACAGGTACTATCAATCAATAATCTATTGTATACTTGAAGCATTTAAACGTAATGTAAAAAATAACATGACCGCACGCTGTATTTTGGTTGGTTGGGATTCTTTAAAGCTCCCCCATAGCAAATAGTACGCGTATAATAAAATATATGAACTCACTATAGTTTGCTGTTGAACCAGTAGTGTTATCTTTCTTCTTTCGTCCACAGAACTCCATAAGAAGACCTAACGCAATTAGTAAAATAAGGACAGAGAGAGCGAGAAGTGTGGCCATGGTTTCAAGATTGTAAGGTAGGTCGTTGCTTGTGTCGCTTTTGACAGTTGGTTGCGCGTCGTTTATCACGGATTGAAGAGCTTGGAACACTTCTTGCTGTAATGGCAAGAAAGCAAATTAGTGAAAGGTTTATTCATTTAAATAATACTGATTTGCAGGCTGTTTCTTATGCAGAGCACGCTCATGTATAGGAATTTTTTGATGAAAAACTTATAAGAGCAGGAAGGCGCAGGATCGGGGTGGGAGCACAAGCAAKCCGAGCAAGATAAATAACATTAAGAGCAACAGATGAAAGTATGACAACAAGCTAATCGACAAAACAKCAAGAGCAGCAAGCAACAAAAGCAAGAAGAACTGACACAAAAAGAAAGAATAAGCCACAAGAGCACCGAACAAGTCACGAGAGCAAGAAGCCACAATTGCACGAACAACTGAGCCTTAAATGAMAAAAGTATAGACAGTCAAGAGAGCAAGTGCAACCTGCCAAGAAGAAGAACATGCCACAAGATCAAAGAGAAATCCACCACAACTGTAGAACAAGTTGCAAGAGCATTGAATAAGCCACACAAAAAAGGAAGAGCAAGGCATCGAGTCGTCGACACTGAAAGTCACAGGAGCATTGAACAAGGCACACAAAAAAGCAAGAAAAAATCACCGACACTGAAGAATAAGTCACGAGAGAGAATAAGGCACAAAAGAGCAAGAACAAGCCACGAAAATCTGCTCTCAGGAGCAACAAATGTTCTTACTCTATCAATTAAGATCTCGAAGTAACGCAGGAGAAGCCGACGGGTTCTGCTCTTCTAAATAGCTGTTCTTGTACGAATTTGTTTCCAGGGAAAGGGTTTTTTTTAGTTTGAGCTACATTGTTGACAATCGCACAAGCAAATGTGGCGTCTTCCTTTTTTAAAATAGTTTTGTTCCTGGCAAACGTTTTTAAGGTAAAAAAGGCTTATATAACGTTTTTTTTATGGACAAAAACGGCTTATATAAGTTATAGTTAGGAAATGTTTATTTTCCTGGCAGAAATTCTTAGTAAGYATTCCTTGCCTGGAGAGTTATTTTTTCCTGAATTTCTCGCTGGCAACTAGTTGTGACTTACAGCTGGCTGGGACCAAGAACAGATATAAATATTTATCCCAGGAACCCGTCGGCTTCTCCTAAAGTAATGCGACATACAATTGTAATTRTATTCACCTTTTTGATGACAATGCTATCCACGACTTGTCTTTCGACACATCTCAGAAAACCCTCTGTGTTACTAATATTCCCAGATGCTGTGATACCAATAGTGAACCGATGATCTATTGTTTTCAGAATCTTGACAGTTGACGGTTTCGGTGATGTCGCTTCACTGAATTTCTGAGCCATCTTGATGTATTCGTAATTGTACATCATCAATAAATCCTCAGATTTCTCAGAAATCTTGTTAACAATGTCTACAAAATCTTCCTCTATATCATAAAAAAACATTATGTTAATGATGTGGAACTTTTTTTAAACTATTTTGGGCAAAAAACTTCAACATTCAACATCTTTTTAGCTTTTTTCTTAGTTTCGCTTCCCCGAATTCTTCCTGTTACTTGGTTCTCGCTTTTCCTATGATGCTATTCTCAGCGTTTTTTGCGAGGGTTTTATAAAAAGGTTATATATTAAGCTTTCGAATAGCCGATTTGCATTATGGTGTCATTTGCTATAACTACCAGAATGCTTTGCCAACTTTCCTTTGTAATGCAATTAGTGCCAATTGTTTTAATAATCTCCAAGGGGATTAAAAATCTGAATAACAATGAAAATGTGCAAGGCTCTCTGGTAGTTGTAGTAAAGTTACGCCATGATGCAAATGGCCTATTGTCAATGATTGCTTGCTTTTTCTGCTGTTTTTTTTTTTATCGTACGTACAGCAACACTTTGCATAGAAAATGCTGTCAAACCACAATGGGTTTGAACCTGATCATGCTTTTATCAATTAAGAGAAAATATAGGGACAGAAAATAACCTTGAAATTGTGCTCCAAGATTTAGTTCTTCTTCTAAGAAGGGTTTTCCTCCTCTTGGTATGACAATCTATATGATACCAATATTTTCTTGTCAGACTACATGCAAATATACCATGATCGAATAAAAGTGAAAACACATTCTTTTAGAAAGTGCACATGACAGCTTTTAGAAAATCACTTTTACCCGAAAGGTAACACGCTGCCAAGCACTTCTGTTAAGAAAGAAATCGATTTTAAATTGTATTTTCTGAGTTATAGACAAAATTCAAAATACAAATGAGTTGACGTCAACAAAAGGAATTGGTCCAGACTTTTTACATTGTTYGTACTACGTTGTTCTTGGTTGAAGAGCTCAAATCATCAATCATGGTAATAGTTGAGAGCTGAAAATGCTTTTCCCAATGTAACAAAAAGAATAACGTCCTCTTTCATGGTTTTATATATGAAATCATTGGCCTTAGTCGGACGTCACTTCATTTCCATTTTCTAAGTTTCAATTGCCCATAACTTAAAAAAATACAATTTAAAATCAATTTCTTTCTTCAAAGATATTCTTAGTAGCATTTTCTCTTTTGGATGAGAATGAATTTCTTATGGTGTCATGTGCACTTTAATGGCGGACTTCCTTTACCATAATTGCTTTCAACATTCATATTTATCGGTCAATGTTTGAACATACTCAGCTAGTGCTGGCATGGTAAGCAAATACTTACTTTTTGTCCAATAAGGTTGATTTCTGTTGGGATTTCATTACTAGTTATCATGGCCGTGAGTTGAGCATTGAATAAAGTCAATGCTATGCATCCTATTATCATCCATATGACGGCAAATAACCGACCTCGGAAAGACTTTGGGGCAATATCACCATATCTAAGAAAGAATGCAATCTATAAGGATAGGTACAGGTAGCATTGACGACAAGAAATTGCCAACTGAGCGGTGCAATTGGAAGTACCTGCAACTAACCTACAGGCCCGTCAGAAAGCTTACCATTTTACCAATGAAGAAAACCAATTGACCATTCTAAAAATCATGCAGCTTACCGACCACACTGCAACTTTCCAGCCAAGAAACTAACCAGACAATCGACAAAATGAACCAACCAACTAAACAACCACCCTAAACCATGGAACTAACCAGGCAATCGACAAAATGAACCAGCCAKCCAACCAGCCAACCAGCCAACCAGCCATMGCCAACCAACCAACCAACCAGCCAACCAAGCAGCCACAGCCAAGCAACCAAGCAACCAGCCACAGCCAAGCAACCAACCAACCAGCCATAGCCAACCAAGCAGCCAAACAGCCACAGCCAAGCAGCCACAGCCAAGCAACCAAGCAACCAGCCACAGCCAAGCAACCAAGCAATCAACCAAGCATCCAGCCAAGCAACCAAGCAACCAACCTAGCAATCAGCCAACCAGACAATTCAAAMCAAAAACCAACCAGACAATCAACCAACATAGCAACCAACCAACCACCCATACAAAGAAACCAAGAATCAACCAACCAACCAACCAACCAACCAATTGATATGATAGGTTGGCAATACACCAGCAGTAATATTAAGCACCAGTCMACAATTTGATTTCCAATCGTCACCACAGCCAGGTTTATGATCTTCTTACCCTACTGTTGTCATAGTAACAAATGCCCACCATAATCCAACACAAGATCCTTTGTGGAATTCCTGTGGAAGCTCTCTTTTGTTATGCTTATGATCCTAAGAATTGGTAAATATATTAG